CACACACCATAGAGTGTTAGGGCAATGCTTTTAAACTTCCTATCGCATTAGGTAACTAGCATCATCTGACAGTATCATTAAGGAACCATAGCTGGAAATGTTATTGTATTTAATTTACAAACTGTTGCATGTGAAAGTTATAGCTTGAATGATCTCTTTAATATAAATATTTAAGATAGCGTTTGTTCATTTTAGTGATTAGGACTCTGGAACATCAGTTTCTCAACCATAGATTTCACATCACACACACACACACACACACACACACACTTCTCAGCTACAAGTGTCCACATCTGCAACAGATATGGCCATCCACAACAATTACCAAACTTGATCATAATAGAAGGTTCTGGAAGATTGCAGAAGTGATCATCTGAAATGAACATACATGAACTCCTGCAGGCATCACATTGCTGCATCTTCCACTGATGGGATTTGGCATCCAGTAGAATATTGCTGGGCCATGAAAATCATCCCAGCAGATTATTGGTTCAGAAGATCTAAAACATTCTTTATCTTGAAATAATTGAAGGGTATAAAAAAACCCGAGGGCAGGCAGCTGTTCTTTGTTAGCTTTCAAGCAAAGGTAATAGCATTCTTGCATACAGAAGCTGAAGCACCAACATTTAACATATGTACTTACTGGGGGTCTATTTTGCGGAAACATCTTTAAACGGAGGTAGGGTGACTTGTCTCAATTTCTATTGCGGACCTGTCCTGGAAGAGAAAACATGAACAGTTTCAAAACAACCAGTCACCCCGACATAAGACTTTGGCTAATGTCACAGAAAATCTATACATAATCTGCTGTTCTTTGGATGACTATATAAAGAATACCTGTAGCTTTATTTGTCATGTGTGTGCGTATGTACAAGCCAGCTCTATGTACTTTTTTTGCCTATGTTCTCAGCTTGAGGTGTATCATTGTCTCTGAGCCTATAACTGCCCGTACACTTTCATCTCACTCATGAGCAAGACCTTCTGGCTCTCCATTGCGTACTTGCTCCTACTTGGCTATAATGGGCTCTCTAGCAACAATTTCATCATTTAATCTACCGCCTATTTCTTTATACCCCATAATTATTCCATATAGACTTTCCCACTGAATGCCTTTGTGTCATGCAGCTTTTACAACGCAAAGCGAGACAACCTGGGAAGCATAAAGACCAAGAAAGGAAGTAAATGGAAGCAACAAAGTATAGTCAGCTGCAAACTAGCATCCTACAGCATCTTCCCTTAATAGTAGGGCCACCCTCAACCCTGCATTCTAGACCACTATGTTTATGGGGAGAGGGAGAGGGAGAGGGAGAGGGAGAGGGAGGAGAGAGGAGAGAGAAGTCCAAACACATAGTTCCAGCCGACAGGGCACACTGCTTTTCTGTTGAATCCAGAGAGGAGCAATTAATCTCCCACTAGAAGCTGTAGACTGTGGAAGGGAAGAATTCCTCCCTCTCCTCTGTTGAAAAGCAATGCAAACTGGCAGGATTGAATATATGAGCTTCTAGCCTGGCGTGTTGCTAGACAGCCAAATCTTGTGGTTTTTTTTTTTAGTGGAGGCAACAGTCAAGTTGCTTTGAGAGGGACAGGCAGAATATTTGGGTATGTAATCAATATCAAAATACAGGAGGAAAAAAAAAAAAAAGGGAACATATTTAATAAAAAGAAAAAAAAATGTATGCTACATCAAAAACTATAGAGGAGGAGGATTTTCTAATAAGGTGCAATGCAAAACATGAGTTAACCTTCCATAAGCTTGCCACATGGGTAGGGGACTGGGTAAGGGAGAAGCGCATACACGCACTGCAGGCCTTCATGCAAGCTGTTGGTGTTCTTTTTTTATTTTACACATGTCGCACGACCTCTGTAGAAGAAGCAAGAAGCTGATAAGTCAACTTTGTATTATATAAATAATTTGAACAGTCCAAGGACAGTTTCCTCGCTTATTTACATTGCACTTCAAGATGAAACATGCTAGCAAAAGTCTATTTTGTAAACAGGGAGAACTAGTGGACAAGGACTTCCCACAAAGAATCTGTGCAATGCTAAACAAGGTATAATCCATTATCTGAATGCAAAAAAAGCACATGATCAAATTTTTCTGCAATAAACTAATTGCTTGTTATTTTTTTTTTTTTTCACATTCTCACATTGTATTATCGCAAGTCAAACTTCCAACAGCTATTTTACAGCAATTCTTAAAAATGACACTAAACTCAGGAGTTAAAACATAAAAATACATTCATGTACCTCAACTATTAACAAAAATAACCATGGGGGGCTACTTTTGTTCACCATGGCCCCTGTGTGTGTTGTAAAGTAGTCACGGCTCCAAGCTCACTCCTGTGATGGACTACAAACTCACATTTAGTTTACTAATTTGTATTGAGATTGTAGTCCATCACAGGAGTGAGCTTTTGTGCGGTGACTACTTTACAACACACACAGGGACCATGGGGAAACAAAAAGTAGCCACCCTCCAGAAGGAAGGACAGTGTGAGCACCAATTCAGAGATAATTTGAGGATCTACAGCTGAGTTACACACAAATAAGATACATTTTTGTTAAAACAGAACTATGAGGCAAGTGATTTTCACTCCTCCTCATAGTTAGAGCTGACGTGCGACAATGAAACTGTCACACGTCGGCTCAATAGATCGAGAAGTGAGCAAACACATACCGCCACTCGCTCACTTCTAGATCATCTCCCCGCAGAGAGCTGTGACCATCAGTCACGGCTCCCTGCAGGGATTCCCCCCTCCCCTGTCCGATCCTCTAGCGCTGAATGGCGGAACGGACGGGGGAGGGGGCGGGTACAGCTGACTCTAGATAGGCAGAGCCAGCAGTCACTTACGCAGCTGGGTGGATGTCGACAGTAATGTCGGGATCTGTCCCGGCTGCGGCGGGCCCAGTATACCGTGAGCTGTAGCTTGTGATATACTGAGCTTTGGGTTACGGGAGGACACTAGTTTATGTCCTCCCGTGACCCTTAAGAGAATGGGGAAAAACACTGACCCCCTTAATTCTCCTCTAATAGTTAACATACTTGAATTAATTTTTTTTTATATACGGAGTTTAGTGTCACTTTAACCAATCTTCATAAATAGGACACACACACAGATCACATGAGCATAACAGTCAAGTTGCTTTGAGAGGGACAGGCAGAATATTTGGGTATGTAATCAATATCAAAATACAGGAGGAAAAAAAAAAAAAAGGGAACATATTTAATAAAAAGAAAAAAAAATGTATGCTACATCAAAAACTATAGAGGAGGAGGATTTTCTAATAAGGTGCAATGCAAAACATGAGTTAACCTTCCATAAGCTTGCCACATGGGTAGGGGACTGGGTAAGGGAGAAGCGCATACACGCACTGCAGGCCTTCATGCAAGCTGTTGGTGTTCTTTTTTTATTTTACACATGTCGCACGACCTCTGTAGAAGAAGCAAGAAGCTGATAAGTCAACTTTGTATTATATAAATAATTTGAACAGTCCAAGGACAGTTTCCTCGCTTATTTACATTGCACTTCAAGATGAAACATGCTAGCAAAAGTCTATTTTGTAAACAGGGAGAACTAGTGGACAAGGACTTCCCACAAAGAATCTGTGCAATGCTAAACAAGGTATAATCCATTATCTGAATGCAAAAAAAGCACAAGATGGAACTCAAGGGATCAAATTTTGCTGAATTAAGCTAATTGCTTGTTATTTTTTTTTTTTTTTCACATTCTCACATTGTATTATCGCAAGTCAAACTTCCAACAGCTATTTTACAGCAATTCTTAAAAATGACACTAAACTCAGGAGTTAAAACATAAAAATACATTCATGTACCTCAACTATTAACAAAAATAACCATGGGGGGCTACTTTTGTTCACCATGGCCCCTGTGTGTGTTGTAAAGTAGTCACGGCTCCAAGCTCACTCCTGTGATGGACTACAAACTCACATTTAGTTTACTAATTTGTATTGAGATTGTAGTCCATCACAGGAGTGAGCTTTTGTGCGGTGACTACTTTACAACACACACAGGGACCATGGGGAAACAAAAAGTAGCCACCCTCCAGAAGGAAGGACAGTGTGAGCACCAATTCAGAGATAATTTGAGGATCTACAGCTGAGTTACACACAAATAAGATACATTTTTGTTAAAACAGAACTATGAGGCAAGTGATTTTCACTCCTCCTCATAGTTAGAGCTGACGTGCGACAATGAAACTGTCACACGTCGGCTCAATAGATCGAGAAGTGAGCAAACACATACCGCCACTCGCTCACTTCTAGATCATCTCCCCGCAGAGAGCTGTGACCATCAGTCACGGCTCCCTGCAGGGATTCCCCCCTCCCCTGTCCGATCCTCTAGCGCTGAATGGCGGAACGGACGGGGGAGGGGGCGGGTACAGCTGACTCTAGATAGGCAGAGCCAGCAGTCACTTACGCAGCTGGGTGGATGTCGACAGTAATGTCGGGATCTGTCCCGGCTGCGGCGGGCCCAGTATACCGTGAGCTGTAGCTTGTGATATACTGAGCTTTGGGTTACGGGAGGACACTAGTTTATGTCCTCCCGTGACCCTTAAGAGAATGGGGAAAAACACTGACCCCCTTAATTCTCCTCTAATAGTTAACATACTTGAATTAATTTTTTTTTATATACGGAGTTTAGTGTCACTTTAACCAATCTTCATAAATAGGACACACACACAGATCACATGAGCAAAACAATAACATGCTTGCCAATTTGGAAAATCTACTCATGGCAATACCCATGATGTCTACCAAATAAGTCACTTTTAGACAATAGACTTCCGCGGTACACAAACAGAAAATACCTTAAGGTCTACAACAGGGGTGCCCACAAGGTCGATCGCGATCTACCAGTCGATCGCGTAGCGATTTACATCACCTCCTGTTCATTCATAAGTTTCTCAATGGGGAGAAGCACTCTGTACAGAGGCTCCTCCCCATTCAGAAACAGCTCGATAGTAAAATATTTTCTTAATGAATGGGAAGCTTCTGTGCTTTCCATTCATTTAGAATAGAGACTGCAGAAAAAGAGATTGAGGACTTTGTGTCCTCAATTTCTTTTTCTATTTTAAAAAGGGAAATATCAGGGGGCATTTTAGACCCCTAATATTTCCCCGAAGCCCCCCCAAGAGTAAAAAAAAAAATTATGAAAATAATGAAAATAAAATAAAAAATAGTAAAAAATAAATTTAAAAAAACTTTGTTTTTTTTCCTTGCCTCAGGTGCAAAAGGAGCTGTCTACGGCTATGCTCCCGTGGTGCTCGTGCGGCTGAATGTGTCAGACGCTGCAGATGGAAAGGTGCAGGACACCCCATGTGCAACGTCGGCCACACGAGCACCACGGGAGGACAGGACGCCGGGACCTGTAATGTACTGGAATGCACTGGAATGTAAGCAGGCCGACTCCCTGCGTTCCGGTGCGGGAGGGGGTGTGGAGCTGTATTGAAGTCAATGGCATCACCCACAGTGCGATCGCCCGCACTCGGAACGCAGGCACATTAGTGCCTGCATTCCGGTCCAGTGCGATCTGCAAAAATAGTGCTCGCAGCATTTTTGCGGATCGCACTGGACTGGAACACAGGCACTAATGCAGGCGATCGCACTGTGGGCGAGGGGCCTGCCTGCGCAGCCTACGCCCCCTTCCGCCCCTGAATGCAGGTGTTTTTTCGTTGGTAGATCTCAATGAGCTCGTCATTTGAAAAGTAGATCTCCAGATGGAAAATAGTGGGCGCCCCTGGTCTACAAGATTATAAAAGGAAGTGAAAGAAAAAAAAAAAAGCGGAACACTTGATTAAAGAGTAAACCAAATTCACTAAACTGACTTGATTACACAGGAATGAGCACTATTGGGCTCCGATGAAAGCCAACGTACAATTACGGCACCAGGGTATATCAGAATGATCCATTCTACTAAAATTCTAAAGGTCATACAGCAGACAACTTGTTAAATTACAGCGGCAGAACTCTAACAAGAGAGGGATGCAAGGAGGAGCAGGGTGTGTAGGTACACAGAGAGGTGTGGAAAGGCTGAGGGTTGCCTATGCCTTGAAGGCAGCCACAGAAACATGACAGCCTATCCTGAGTTTGAAGGTTTGCCAGAAGAGACAAGGAGGGAGAGGTGCTGACAGATCCCAACGGAGGAAACCGATGGCACAGAGAACATAAGTGCTGTGCTGAAGTGTTACAAAAGTAAATAGATTAAATACTGAACCCGTATATCCACTAAGAACTTTTTTTCATATTTGGACAGTGTGGTAAAGAATTACGTTCCTGCTATCTGGGGTTCCATTAGAGATTTCCCCTCACTAGGGCCTTGTTCACACCATGCGAGATGGTGTGCAAAAATGCAGCTCAATGGACATTGTGAACAAGGCCTTAAAGTGACACTAAACTCAGGAGTCAAACCTTAAAAATACTTTCAAATGCCTTACCTAGTAACAAAAATGTACCCTATTTGTGTAGATCCTCAAATCATCTCTGAATTGGTGCTGACACTGTCCTTCCTTCTGGAGGGGGACTACTTTGGTTCCCCATGGTCCCTGTGTGTGATGTAAAGTAGCCACAGCTCCAAGCTCACTCCTGTGGTGGACTACAATCTCAATACAAATTAGAAATCCAAACATGAGATTGTAGTCCATCGCAGGAGCGAGCTTGGAGTGGTGAAGGGAGTCCAGAAGGAAGGACAGTGTCAGCACCAATTCAGAGATGATTTGAGGATCTACAGCTGAGTGATACACAAATAAGATACATTTTTGATAATACTTCAGGTACTTGAATGCAATTTTAAGATTTAACTCCTGAGTTTTGAGTCACTTTAAGGAGAGTACACACGAACTGAATTCCTGCTGAATCGGCCAACATCCAATTCATAGGTGGCCCTGTCTCCTCGACCAAAGTCAATCATTAGAATCACTTTTGTCAAAGCACTGAGGGTCCGTTGACTTGCAGTTGTACCGTCGGGTTTCGGTCCCATCCGTTTTTCAAGGGAATGGGTGCAAGTGGGGCTAGTTCACACCGCATCTGTTGCATTACATTGTACTTTTTTACTAGTTGTAGTTTTTTTGTTTGTTACCGCAACAACGCAACAGAACAGAGTGGTGGAAACGAGTCCCATTCTTTGGTTAGTTCCCTTCCGTTAGCATCCATTGAAAACTTATCGCAAAGCAATGGATCCAGTGTGAATGGGCTCTTAGGCCCCTTTCACATGAGCAGTCCGATCGGGGGCGCCTGTCAGTTTTTAAACTGGACCTATGCAAGTATATGGGCAGCTGTGTGTACATGGACAAGCGTTCGTTTACGCCTGGGTAGCCCCACCTCCGGCCTGGTCCAGAAAAGCAAACAGACGCAATCATGCCGGACCAGAGGTAATCCAATGTAAACGGGCACATGCCCATTTACATCTGATTCCTCCACAGACAGACATGGGGTCCAGCAGTTTCAGTTTTTTCCTCCATCGCAAGACACAATAGCCGGCAGGGGAGATTCAAATCGAGTGATTTCTGTCCTTCAACCTGCTAGGCTGAACAAAAGATCTTTACATGGCCAGCTTAGATGACTAGAATTCTATCTAGGCCCCAGATTACAGTAAAATACAACAAGGGTTCCAACGCCTCATTCACACTGGCACGCCTGGGTTTCGCTTTTCTAAACATAAAAGTTATCTGGGAAGTATAAACAACTTTTATGCTTCCCAGATTACGTTTAGCCCCCCACACAGAGTTCTAATCGGCTCCTGGACAAACAGAATTCTATTTTCTTTAAAAGCAGCTAAACACAAAGTCTGAATGATAGCATTGAAAAACAATAACGTGCATATATAGGTTTAGAAATGTGCTGTGGACACAGGTCTCATACTGCCAGTGTGAATGAGGCCTAACCATCCCCCGCACAATGTTTTAGCTGGACATACAATTTAAAGCAGGGGTGGGCAAATTCCAGCTGTGGTCAAACTACACATACCATGATGCATCTGCCTCTGGGAGTCATACCTGTGGCTGTGAGAATTTTCCAGTGCCTCGTGGGACCTGTAGTTCCACAACAGCTTCAGGTCTGGAATTTGCCCACACTTGCTTTAAAACGCTGCCACAAAGTGTCCCTACTATTAACCAGGACATAGACTTTACTGATGAAAGTGACCAAGCTACTAACATTATCCTGTTATTTAAAGAGCACTACAAACCTGCACACAAATGTATTCAGGCATGTAGGTTAAGGGGGTGGACAAACGAATATAGAATTCAGGAGCCAGTCTGTCCAATCTAGGAGCCAGCTCCACTGGCGACAAATAGAGAAACCCTTAAAAGTTAGGCGACGGGTGAAATTTTTCAGGAGCACTGGCGACCTGGATTTGGCCAGCCCTGCTGTAGCCAATACCACAACAACACAAAGCAGTACAGTGGATGTAAATAATGAAAGCACATGAATGAGAATTCTACTAGATGATGTTCAGAATGCACATCAATTCTCTCTGCAGGGTGGGATATACACCATGATCAGATCTACTCATTCAGTCTGCCATAAGGTTTGCACCCCCCCATCCCTGTACATGTAACTCCCCAAGCTAGACCCTTCTGTTGTGCTGTAAAAGCCTTTCATGTTTTCCAGCCCTGCACTGATCTGTCTCCTCAGCCCCCCATTACGCCCAGGATTCACCTTCCACATTCGATCGCCTTTCCCATCTCATCCATCCAGGTAGTCCAGGCAATTGTCGGCCTCTCCTACTCACAGCCACACACAGTGTCCCCCCTCCTCCACACCACCTCCTCCTCCTCCTGTGTTTACTCTGATCACCCCCATGCCTCCCTCTCTCTCCTGCACCCCCAGCTCACTCCTGTAACCTCTCTTTAATGGGCTCTGCTCCCAATAGCTGTACACCACAAACACGGGGACTCTCAGCTCTCCCCAAATTACCTCTCCCCCACCGCCCCCTCCCCTGCGTCCTGCTCTCCAGCAGATCTCTTCCCTCGCCCACCGCAGGCCTCTCTTTCCCTGCATATCCAGTCCAGCCATTTTCCCCAACCTTTCCCCCCGGATCTCCCCTTCTCACCGGGCCCCGAGGTAGGAGGAGCCGGTGTCCAGTCGGGCCCAGTCTCCCGGTGCTCGGTGCAGCCCCTCCCTCCGGCTCAATCAGCGGCCGCCAGCTCCACGTGGGTCCGGGCTCCTGCAGGCTGCCCCAGCTACATACGACCAATCACACTCCGCTAAGCTCCACGTGGGCTGCGCTTGTTTCTCCCTCATTGGCTGCATGTCGCTGTGCTGCCAATCAAACTGATGTTAGATTCTCTTAACCCCTGAAGACCTGGAACGTAGAGTGTGGCAGCAAGCTTTAACCCCCCTCATTCTCTTCTGCCTTTTCCTTGGGGGGGCTCACCTCCCAGGAATAGATGAACAGGACCGCAAAATACCTCTGGGAAAGGCATACGGTAGATTAACAGCAAGAGGGCCAATTATGTCATCATTGTGATTAACATGGATTTACTTATTGGCACATTAAAACATACATTTGGCAACCCACAGTAGATATAAACCCAATCATTACATTTCACATGGGTTTTAATATGAAACTGTCATTTCTAATATTTATTTCTTTAAAATAATACCTAGTGATCCTGCCATGAAGTTCATTGTGCAGGCATTTCCTATTGCAGGTGCCCCTGTCTCCAAATTGTGCCAGAGGTTGTCACCACATCATATGTGCTTCCAAAGTGACCTTTAAAAACACTTCTTGCTGGCATGGTCCACTGTACTGATAATTAGGAAGTTCACCCCTCCCTGAGAAATGCCACACAGCCATCACAGTGAGGTCAGCAAGAGGTAGCAAAGAGAAAGCAAGAGATCAGCAACACTGAGATGCCACCAAGTTTAACAAAAAAAAATCAGTTTATGATTCACAGTGCTTTAGAAAACTAAGTTGGGATTTATCAAACCTGGAGCAGAAGAATCTGGAGCAGTTGCTCATAATAACAAATCAGCTTCTTTCTTCAGTTTGTTCAGTTAAGCTTTGAAAATGAAAGAGAGAAGCTGATTGGTTGCCATCACAGCTGCTCCAGATTCTGTCTGCTCTAGTTTTGATAAATTCCCTTCTAAAAATGTTATTAAGTTAAGGTTTACATCTGCTTTACCATACACATGACAATCCCTGTTGACACTTGTACAATCCGTCACCCTGCACTCGACGCCAGGGACGGGCAACTCTGGCCCTCCAGCTGTGCTGTAACTGCAAATCCCATACCACCTCTACCCCTGGGAGTCATGCCCGTGGCTGTTAGAGTCTTGCAATGCCACATGAGGCTTGTAGTTCCACAACAGCTGAAATTGCCTACCCCTGGTCTATGCCCTACGCACAAAAAGTACATGAGCTTTCTTTTTAGTGTAAGCAGGTTTTTTTGGCCCTTGAATGGGTGCGCCGGTAAACGCACAACACTTTATGAAGAACTGCTCTCCTCTAGAACTGCCTTCTATTGGCCAAAACAAAAACGCATGAAGCTTAACACATGTGCAAAAAGGCTTGTAAACGATCATATATGCACATACAAGTGAAATGCATGGAAAAAATCTGCCCTGCTCAGTGTCAATGTAGGATAAATGTTGTATCGTCCTGAAAACTTTATTAATAGCCTGCTAATATAAGTCATAATATTTCTAATTATTATTCATGACTTATATAGTGCCAACAGTTTGGCCAGCACTTTACAATATAAAGAGAGACAGTGCAGTTATAATACAAGAGGATTAGGAGGGCCCTACTCATAAGAGCTTACAATCTACTCACACACTGCAGGGAGGTAAATAGATGGAAGACAAGACGTTCAGGGGGCATGGGGCTGCATTCATGTTTTCTTCTTTCCTTCCATAAATATTTAGATAGAACAATTAGAAAATAAATATACTATCACATGTAGAAAAAAAAAATATGTGTGTGTGTGTGTGTGTGTGTGTGTGTGTGTGTGACTTGAGGCGTACATGAGTACATGAGGGCAGACTGATTGGGTTGATATTTATAATGGAATATATTCATTACTGTTTTATAGAAGGTCCTATGACTTCACCAATATATAACACCCTTATTTCGTTTTTCCAGTGCTATTCTTTCCAGTGTTGTAGAACTATGGGATATGTTTTTATATTTTGGAGATGTTTGGAGACCCCCCCAAAATGTACAATAGACGAGGAGGAGAAGGTAATGCGGTGGTACTACGTTGGTCCTATAGTTCTGATGATGATTATTCTCCATCGCCTTTATCCAAACCTGACAAGTCCAGCTCTCCTCTGGAGATTGCTAACAGGAGAAGAGGAGGCTTTTCTTTTTATTGCACTCCCCCTAATCCTTTATCTCCCCCCCTTCATCCATCTTCTCCTGAATCTGCTCATCTCCCCTCCCCTCACATACCTTCTTGTTTGCATGGAATGCTCATGGGGATGGGGGTTAACCCTGAAGAAGGATAAACAAGATTAATACAATAGAGGACCTCCCTCCCATCCCTCTCCTTATTCAAACCACCTTCTCCCTTCTCCCTCCTCCCTTCCCTTTTTGCCCCCCCCTTTTCCTTCCTTTTTCTCTTCCCCTTTGTTTCCTTTTTCTTGGCCTCTGCCCCCCCCCCCTCCTCCTCCTCTTTATAACAAGGTCCCTCTAATTACATCCTAAGGGTGCCTGGGCTGTTAACCCTTTCTGCTCAGAGTCTGCCTGCCATTATATCAGTCTGCATTTTATTCTGTTGCCTAGCTTCTTGGTAAAATATTTTTTTCTGTTATATATTCCTTCTTGTTGGAATCTCCGACATCAATAATGTTTTGGTAGAAATGAGCTGCACTACAGTTTGTGCGCCCCCTGATAATGATATATGGAAAATAATTAGAAACAATCATTAGGAAAAATAAAGTGAAAGCTGAGGACTTCTGTTTTAAAAAAACACATTGCTTGCAACATGTAAGATATACTGTATATGAGTTTAGGTCAAAGTGTTTTTCTGGTTAGTCTACATTGCCTGAAATCTATAGCTGGCTATATATTGCTCGAAGTGTATGCACAGCAGGACTCTGCTTTGACCTGTTGGTCGACCAAATTCGACCAGTGTGTGACCCACTATGCTCGACCTAAGATGATTTTTAAATCGACTTTTGGTTAGGAACTAGTCTGAAAATTCTCAGCTTAAAGCACGCCACCAACCCGCCGAAAATCGTACGGTTTTCGGCAGGTTTTCCAGCGTGCTAGGAAGAACAAAGTCGTGCGACTGTATGGTAGAAGCGGTCACACGCTGGCCATATACCTGCCGATTATCGTACGATCACGGGATCACCCGCGATTATCGTACGATAATCAGCAGGTCTATGGGCACCTTAAGGCTGGGCACACACCTTACAACCATCGCAAGACTTTTGTCTTGTGATGGTTGTAAGGTACTTAAAAAAACCTACGATCTGCCTATGTTGCATAGGCAGATCGTACTTGCGATGATCGCCAGCCACGCCCCCTGAGGGGCGGGCTTCCGATGACCGCAATGCCGAACGGGCAGTGTGCGCTTGCGCACACCGGCCCGTACGGCTGTTATCGTACGGACATGCCACAAACCCGCCGAACATCGTACGATGCTCGGCGGGTTTTCGAACATGTCCGTAAGTTTAAAGTCGTGCGACCTTACAGTAGTAGAGGTCGCACGGCTCCCACACACCTTACGATAATCGTACGATCGCGGGATTCCGCCATTAACGCTGTTCAGTGTGGATGTGGGAATGTGGGAATGGAGTGTTCTTTCTCGTTCGATGAACAAGAAATAACAAAAAGTGTGTGAGAAGCTGACGTTTCTTTCTGTAGTCACATTTGTGAATTTGCATTGATATTGCAAAGGTTAACTTCCAAAAATGTGCTTGCAAATCTTGATTACTTTATATTTATATATAAATATAAAAATACTTGTAATGATTCATTTGTAATCATGATTGTAGCCTTATTAGTGCACTTGCAACAAGTGATAACTGTCTATGACACTTTTTTTAAATTTCCAGTTACATTTTCAGGACAAGCTTTCGGGGTACACCCCATTCATCTAAGACAGCCTTTCTCAACTAGGGTATTGTGGCCTTCTGCCTTTCTCAGGGGTGCCCTGAAAATTTTCACACAGTGTCATGCCTTCCCATGGTGCAGACAGGTATCTGATGTGAAGGGGGCTCCTGATGTGAAAGCGGGGGACTCTGCTATAAAAGGGGACACTCTGATGTGAAAGGAGGAAGCTCGGATGTGAAGGGGATTTGCAAGTGTGAGAAGGGGGGACTCTGATTTGAAAGGCGAGATTCTGATGTGAAAAGGGGCCTCTCATATGAAAAGTAGGAGCTTCTAAAGTAAAGGGGGGCTCCTCATGTCGTATTATAATATTTGATATATGTAATATATACAAATATACTTTTTTGTGTTTCTCCATAGGGTTCCCCTTGAAAACCTATACCAGACCCCTATCTGGGATAAGGGTCTGTTACAAAATTTTTGGAGGGACCAATTTACATTTTAATCTGGGGTGCCTTGATATTTTGCATACATTTAAAGAGTTCCGTGACTGGGAAAAAAAAGGCTGAGAAACGCTAATACAAGGTACTGCTTGGACCTTAGACAAAGGGGGTACACTCCGAAACTTTTCCTGAAAATGTAACTGTTAGTGCAAAAAAAAAAAAGGTCACGGACAGTACTCAACTTAGTATGTAATAAAAGATAACAATAAAGCAAAACACTCAATAGGCAGTAGAGGGTGGTCAGATGTAGAGACATGATCATATACTCCTCGGATACCACCATCTTCCAGCAGGTTTCTTATCATAAATGAAATGGGCTTATTGTTATATTTATTATTATATGTACAATTGTTCAGGTTTAGCATATGGAGTACAGTAGCTCCTGCATTGACTTTTTAGGGGTAAAATTGTAGTGTTTGGACGAGTAATTTTAACTGATCAATTTTCCCTCAGATGAGCCACAGCTAGCAAAAAGTTACTTCACAGCCATTAGATCATTGGCTGATCTGGCCATTTAATGTCTATTGGGCCTATAAGCAAATATTTACATAAAACCAGATTAGCTGTCTGTATGGCCTGAAATACTTACTTTTCCTGGTAAAAAATGCTGCTCCAGACCCCCTCTTGTGCAGCTTACACAACTAAAAGATCAGAGTTTAGATAGGCTGAGCTGCCCCTTTAGCAGAGGTTATGTGACCAAATGCCTAGACTTTT